AAAAATATATCCAAACACTAGATACCACAATGGGAACAAAATGGCACCAATATATGCCACCCTAGCCTTAGGTTAACGAGAGGAAAACCTCTATGAAAAGATAAAGCAAATACATAGGGGAAAATATAAAACCCCACCTCACTAAATCTTCGAGACGATACATGACGATTGTCTTATTTCCTTAAAATCCCCGTGGGGCGATATTAACCAATTCCACGTTCTACTCCAAAACTTACACCCAAAGATCAAATTAACCCAAGAATATAATTTTAATGAACTGCCATTCTTTGACATATTCATTATAAATAGAAATAACCAAATAATCACAGATATCTAACACAAACATTCAGACACCCAACAATATCTTTATTTCAAGAGCCATCACCCAAAAAGCTGTCTAAAATCCATCCCCTATTCCCTAGTACGTAGGTTTTGCACTATAGTAGCTGACAAACGCATCCGAAAAACCCACTTAGAAGAACTACATAGAACTCTAAAAAAGAAAAAGAAAATAATAAACGAGGCTATCCCAAAATACTAATAAACGAAGATTTTAAAGTAGCAGAAAAATACCTTTAGACCAAATATGAAACCCAGAGAAACTCAACGATGAAACTATTCTAGCATACGTCTCAACGTAGAACAACAATCCAGACCTATTTACAGAAATTATAAAAAATCTAGACTTACATAAGAATGATAAAATGAAAGCTACAAAAACAAACAAAATAAAAGCAAACGCCTATCAAAAAACCTAAAACACATTAACCTCATCCAAATTTAGCCAACACACAATATAGAGGGATGCCAAATGCAACAAGATGTGGGGTTTGTAATATCATTATAGAAAAAAACTCCTGCACTTTTGAAAACCCCACAACAACATTCACAATGAATAAAAAACTTCAACTTCCAAAAAATGGAATCAAGTGCACAATATGCAGCAAGTCATAGATAGGTATCACCCAAGCACTAAACTGATTTTACACACATATATATCTCAGTTCATCCGCCTGGGCTTGAGGGATGTTCAAGGCTACCTCCTCGACATCTGGGTATGAATTTCTGGGTATTATAAACCTAATGTCATTAGGTTCATAATACCCAGAATACAGAAATACCAGATACTAAGTTATATGATTCAACTCACTCCATTGTAAAGTTTCCTATATTAATATAGGCCATTTTTTCTTAAAATTAACAGATAAACATTTTCATGACGAGAATCCTCTATCAAATTTTTTAATAGAAAAATCACGTAAAATTAGTTAGTCAACACTTTAAAGAAAATCATCTCAGCTCACAATAGTAAGCTACTAAATAAATTCCATAATAGTGAAGTAACCGATATTAACCCCCATGCAATTGCAGAAGGAAAACTGTGTGACCTGTTGGAGGTAAAATTAGGTCTAAAAACGTGGTATAGATATTTACTTGACCCCCCACTGAGTCAGGATGAGGTCGGTTTTAACGTGAGGAACACGAGTGTTTCTACTCGGGCCACTGGTCTAATCTGGTCTTAGCTGGTCATAGCTCGTACAAGCTGGTCAGAGTTGGTCTAAGCTAGTCAGAGCTGGTCCAGGCCCGAGCCGGTCCAACCTAGACATAGCCGTGATACCCACCACCCCCAGCAACAGGGCCGCGGCACAAGTGCCAGGTAAGGTATATGAAGCAACGATTTTCTCTGAAGAAACAAACAGATTTATTCGGACATTATCTCAAGAACTTCAGAGACAGTCGGGATTGTTTCAAATTGACAATGAACTAAATACAATTTAACTAGTTACCAACATGATATCCCTGGAAAATGAGCATAGCAGTATAATAACGGCCTTAAACTTGATGAAAATAATATTTTATCGTTTAAATATTTATGTTATCAAGAGGAAAGATCAAAGTATTTTTTGATTATTTTTACATTCTTTTAATAATTTCTAGCACGTCCAAAATTTTCGTTAAATGTCTTGTATTTTATTGATCAGCAAAATTGACAGAAAATCGATCGTCAGCCAGTCTCAGTTTCAAATTCTTTTAAAAAAATCATAATTGATTTTAAAAAAAAATAATTTAAGAAAATTGGAAATTATAAAGTTTATTTAATATATTTTGAAACAAACATTACTTTCTGCGCTGAAAATATCTACTTTAAAATGAGAGAAAGCCGGTCTTAACAGCGGTGTTGATTGACAAGTGATATGTACGTGACTATTAAAATATAACTTGCATGGGCAAAGATATATAGATGAAAATGGTTCAATGAATAAAATTTAATAGGGGTAGAATAAAAAAAAACAAATATTCGTCAATGAACAACGTAAACAAAAAAAGACACTAAAATATATAGAAATGGATAAAAAAAAAATATATATATATACGCATACAGACACAAAGAAAGAACAAATTCAAATGCAACACTTAAAATAAAACCGGCTAACATATAAAAAAAACACACAAACACGCAAATATATATAAGTACTCATATATACTTATATACGCATGAGTATGCATACATGAGTACAAATATATAATATGTAAAAAAATACATACATACGAATGTGTACACACATTCATTACTACAAATACAAACATACATAAATATACCTACGCACATGCAGATATATACATCTATATGCACACACATATAAAATATATCAACCTACACAGTAACATAAGAGAATATATATATATAACCTACACATATTCTAACAATATTATCCTAGTGACAAAGGGCCGTAAAGTCCATATAAGATTAAAATGTAACAAAACAACTGTTCATTAATAAGTTCACGAACAATTTTAAAACCACTATCAAACAAAAGTAGATTATAGTTAGCATAGATAATACATTCAAAAACATTAAGATATACACATATACAGATATATATATATAGCTACACAAACACGTGTGCATATATATATATATATATATACACACACACAGACTCACCCATACTTATACAAGCGCATATATAAACAAACACATATATAACAGCCATCAATACAAACATATATATATATATATATATATATATATATATATATATATATACACACATACAACTACAAGTACATGCAAATACATAGATACACACACACACACATATATATATATATGTGTGTATATTTATAAAAATTCACATACACATATATACATCTATAAAAATATACACACATGCGCAAACAAAAATAATAAACGTATACCTACATATATGTACATAGAAGGATTAGCAGATAATAAAAGTAATAACATACTAAACTTACACTAACATTGCCTTATCGTCAAAAATATTACTACCACTATAGTAAGTTAAATTTTGAGTTATGTTTACAGTTAACAGTGAGTTCATTCCTTGGATTTAAGAGATCGGTCTTGTCTTTAATGATTTCAAAATTTTCATTAAGACATAAATAACAAGGGGCATATAGATAATTACATGTTCGAACTCTCTTGAGTAATTGCCATTTAACAGTAGGTGTCTTGTTTTTCTCCTTTAAACTCCAAAATACTTAGATAATGAAGTTTTGTACTCATGATTACTACTGTTGAAGGATTGCACATGTCCCCGCTAATGTATACATAGTACTTCCAATGTAAATTTTTTTTAATATTGGGGTTTTCTGGTGTACAAATTGTACTCAGATAGCTAGAGAACGAGTTAAACAATTATTTCGCAATGGGCAAGTATTCGGATTCCTACAATTGCAGAAGTTATTAGTGTCATATTTAGTTTTACTCGTTGCAACCTGGTGAGTAGTCAAGTTTTTTGAATCCTTATATTTGTTGAATACTGTTATGTTTCTTAATTATTTTTTCCAGGTTATTAGTACAACTATAACTTAAAAGGTATTATAATCGAATATCTTACTGAGTGGATTAGTTTCGGGGTCGGGAAAATGTTTTTAATAAGGTTTAGAAATTTATGTCCTAGTTTGATTGAAAGGTGGAGTAAACCAAATGATCTTCCTGGATCTTCATTTCTTATTGTGGTCACGATTAACAGGATTTCTATATTGAATAGTGGTACCTTTGTAGCTACTATTTCTAAGGGCAGAATTGTAAAATTCACAATGTTTATTAAAAGCCTCTTATATTTGCTCTAATCTGTATTGAGCACTCTTAAGAATAGTATTTTTTGGTTATTGGAATTTATTTCATATACACCAATCTTATACTTGAATATATATATATATATATATATATATATTTGAAGAGACATGATTTAGTGTTCTTTTTTATTTTATTTTTTTGTATTGAACCTAAGAACCTTTCGGCAAACATTTAATCAGGGACCAACATTGGCAAAATTATTATGTCTAAATTGGTGTGAAAATATATGAAATATGGAAGAAGATTTGGAGTACATCTAAAAAATAAATTCACGATTCAAATGTAAGTTCTCATTCTGCTTACACAAAGACGGCTGTTGTAATTTAATACAGTTTCCAACACTTGCACATGATGTTTGGACCGAGCCATATGCGAAATAGATAATGTGTTAATAGAAAATTGTGAGGAGCACAGTTCATTCCCTAATAGGCGTTGTCCAATCGCTGATTCATGTGCTGATTGCTAAACACGAAAAGAAGATAGGACTAAATTGTGTCTTCAAATCAATTTATGCATTCTGTGGCATCAAATTGTCATATATATATATATATATATATATATATATATATATATATAAAGGGTGTTTCATTAAGACGGATAAAAGTCAGCAGTAAATAAATCAGTTTTATTGGTGAAAATTTATTTATTTCTCTATTGGATCATGTTATTTAAGTCATGGCAATTATATGTGAAAAATAATATTGCCTAAATGTTCGTCAAATCTGAAAGAAAAAGAAAAAATAATCATTAAACGCTTAAACTTAGTTCACATTTAAAATCGCTCCTAGTTAGTGGAACATCCTTTATATATATATATATATATATATATATATATATATATATATATATACAGATAAAATCTTACACATTGATAATATGCGGTAATGTTGATATGGTTTTTGACCAGATTGTGTGTGTGTATATACTTTCTTTAAAAGACATTCAGAAATCTCACTTTCTCATATACACCTCCCCCTCACACAATGTAAATAGAATGTAAGTAGTCATGAGATTTTTATATGTATTTATCAATATAGCCTCTGACTTCTCCATACACTCAATCTCTATTTAGACATCTTTTCTTGCAGAAAAGTTTCATTTATTCTCTCGCTACAGTAACAGTCGTAAGCTGCAAACAGACGAAAGCGATAAGGTAAGCTAAGCAAATAAGTTTTTTTATGTCATACTTTGAAATTAACAAAAACAGAGAAAAAAAAAAAAAAAAACGCTTTTTATTCATTTTTATGATCGCTGTAATTCTCTACACTTGTAGTAAATTTATATAATTATTTAGAATTTATCATTTATAGAAATTAATTTCTCTACATTTCTCTTAAGAAAGATATAGCGAATGGCTAGCATCGTTAATATTTTCTTCGTAAGCGAAGTGCTTATCACTGAAAAGAAAATAACTTAATAACAGTAAAAAATCCCATAAAAATTAAAATTCATTTTCTTTTGACTGTTTAGACTCGGAGTGTTTAATTGATAACTTTTAATAGAAACTAAGTAGTAAGTGTATATTTAATATTCATATGATTCTAGCTGGGATTTTAATGCAGTTTGAGTTAACACTTGCTTCATAATTTGTGCCACATTGCACTGGCGACAGGACAGTACTGAGAATTATCGTTGCTGTCATTTATTTTTTTTATATTTAAAGTAGAAATTATGTTATAACGTTATGGTAACTAAAACAAAAATAGATGTCAGTATGGGTTCAAATATCCAAACTATAATTTATCAAAGTAACCATTAAGTATTTTTATATAGAAATCTTTAATAGTCACAAACTAAAACATAGATGGCATGATGTAATTCTTATCGAAGGTAGTAAAGAACAATGAACATTGTTAATTCTTATCGTCTTGCTTGAGAATTTTAATTTTCCTTAGTTTTTCAATTATTTGTACGACTGTTTGCGACTATTCTGAGAAATAAAGAAGGAATACAATTTAAGAGAACAGACGTTTTCACTTCTATACACTCTCTTCAATTCTCATGAAAAAAATTCATTGATATTCTCACTTTTTCTTTTTAACTTATTTTCGTTTTTCTTTCTTTATCCGGATCGGGTAAACAAACCGTATTTTATTTTTAACTTAGTACCCGTTGAGCTTTCATATCTGCAATAACTGGTGACACTGCTTCACATTGGAGATCAAGCGACAACAAGTCTTTAGTATTTCTGCATTCTTGGATTGTCAGAATGATTCCGATTTTTCTTTGCATTTTCAGTTCTTTTTGTCAGTTCTTTTGGAAAGTCACAAGCGTATTCATGATGACGACCGATTCTTTTATATTCCATAACTTTTCTTTCAATTCTCTGACAATCGAGGTTTTTTACGGTTTATCAACCATTTTTGTGGGTTATAAAACCGAAACATTTTAAATTCTAAGAATAATTCTTTTTCTTTTTTTACGATTGTATAAAAGATTTTTAACAATTATTTAACCACCGAAATGGATGCGTTTTTTCCCCGAAATAAAAGCTAAGAATTTCTAACGTTGTTTACAAAAAAAAAAAATTGCCAAAAATCAGGAAATGATCCGATTCAAACGAAAATGTCGATACTTATTCATTAATGAATGAAATGGTTTTATGAATAGATTAGTATCCCCAACTTTTCGATTGTGTGCGTACTTTTTAATTTGATGTTTGCGAAATTGTTGTAGTTATAAAAAAAATCCCTGAAGATATTTTAGTGAAACAGAATAGCGAAATCTCAATTGCGAGTCTTAGTGAAACTTCGTCCAGAATCTTACGAAAATAATTCAATAAAACTAAAAAAAAAAAAAAAAAAAAAATTGTTGAATTGGTGCATGCATAATTTCATTAATAAAAACAAGCGTTACTTTCTTTCAGATAAGACATAAAAAAATCTACAGTCAAAAAACTGAGAAAAAAAAAAAACTTGTATTTTTTTGGTGCAACTTTGAAATACATCCTACCATTGGTGTTTATAAGTGTTTGTTTTTTTAAATTAAAGAAAGAGGCAAATTTAATAATTATTTAAAGAATTGAAAAATGTAGTGTCTTCAAGTGTCAACCATTTTTATATTTTAGTAAACGTTAGATTATTTTTTGTATGGATGTTCAAAAATGAACTAACACATTCACTACCAAGTACGAGATAACTCGTAGTTGGCGTCATAATAAACAGTGGCAACCGCGAGTTATCTCGTACTTATGACTCTCTGCTCCGTTTTCATGGTGATGTAAAAGGATGAGTAATCAAAGCCGAATTCAAATGCGAGACGGATTCAGTGATTCACTTACACGCTGGGTAATCATGATCACCCAAGCGTGGCAGATCCGCCTTTACCAATAGACAGGGGGAGAGAGTAATAGCCAATTTGAACCCATGATCTACGTCCAACAAGAATCTAATGAACCCGACTGGAATTCAAACTGCTCTCCGATTTCTCAGTCCGAGCCGATATCCATTATTATTACACCATCTGCACATTCAATTCTCTGAGAATTGGTCATCATTATTATTATTATTCACTGAAAATGTTTCTTAGTGTCAAATGATCTCAACTTTTCGAATCTATTTTTTACAAAGTGCACAGATACTACACTAATCCTCGGCAAAAGTACTGCTCCGTACATAAATTATAATTCAAAAAAATTTTACGGGTACATTTATACTAATATTAATAACATAGTTAAACGATTAAGAGTAGAGAGTATCAATAGTGATAGAAGCGTTTATAAACCACGACCTCTGTTCCCACCCCCTAAAAAAAAAAAAAAAAAAAAAAAAAAAACTCACCCACCAAAAGTATGATAACCATTAAAGCACGTCGAGGTGCCGTGAGAATAGTGACCTTAAAAAGCATAAATAAATCTCTAACTTAAAAAGGTAAACATTGGTCCTGTTTATAATCGAGTCTGACCCACCAACAGGATACTGAGTATCGATTAGTGATTTCGGCATAATGTAGGACCCATCAACAGGATACTAACTTAGAGTATCGGTTAGTGATCTCGTCTAAAAAGGTTATTTAGTAAAGTTTAGTTCTTACTTTTTTAGTAACTAGATTAGTAGGTTTGTTTTTCACTAGACCTCCTGTAAATAAAGCCCTTTACCAAACTGAAGTGAAAGAAAAAAAAAAAGAAAAGATCAAAGAGGACTACGAAAAACATCGACAGTTCAAAGTAGGTATTATCACAACCGTAAAAAAAATACATTTAAAATTGTTCTTTGAAGTTAAATTATAGTTTTATTTCAAAGATAATTGTCTAAGAAAACCCTAAAAACTAATAAAGCATAATAATAACGTAAAACTAATTCGTAAAAAATAAAGAAAAGAATTTTATCTATTTAAATAAGTTTTTTAGACCTTTTAAAAATTGTTGTCAGAACCGCCATTATTGACAAAAACCAAAATTAGCAAATTTAAAAATCTCTTTAGAACCCTATATTTGTTCTTGAAACTCGTTTCAAAGTAAATTAGTCAAGTTAAGGATTAAAGTGAATTTCGTAAAATTACCTAAAACATAAAAATAACATTTATTTACTCCCAACCTGATATTTGTGTCCCTAATCAGATCAAAGATTAAGAGACTTAAAGCAACAGAAATGTGGTTCTGCAGAAGGATACTGAATATGTGAGCAACGACGAAGTTTTAGAGAAAATGAAAAAAGGAAACTTATACTTAGCATCAGAGAGTTGAAATTTCTAGGGCACATAATGAGAAAAGTGAGCTTGGAAAACCTGATACTCACAGGACAGATTAAAGACAAGACGGACAGAGGAAAACAACTTATAACCTACCTAGAGAGCTTGAGTAAATGGATGGTAGAACAAAGTTTAGGAGAAATAACAAAATGTCAACATTTATTAAGAGCTACGAAGGATCGGAAACTGTGGAGAGCCGTGATCGCACACATAGAGAAGAAGAACCCAATGAACTGTCATGAAGGTCATACATCAACAATATTAATTTCCTACTGTCACCCCACGTTAAAAACAAACACTTATAAAATGTGGAAACTTGTATTGTTTATGTTTAAAAATAAATTATCTTTAACGGTACATGACCAAGTTTTCAAAAAATAGTTTTTATTCTAAGAAAGAATAATTTTACTTTTTATACTAAAATAGGCATATAAGAAATATTTTTTTTACACTATTTACATTATTCAGACTGTAGTCTTCATCTTCGTTGCCATATTCACAACGTAGGCGTAGATTGTTCTACTTCCACGTGCCATGCCTCTTCCGGATGTCTCAGTTATCTCCCCTTTAACTCAATTCTCCAAGTTTTTGTTCACCACTGCAGAAGCCAGGTATTGAACTCTTTGGGTCAAGTCACTGGCTACAACCAACGCTTTTATCCACTCTTACAGTCCGAACAATGTAAATTATGTAAATAATCACAATACCTCATCTCAGAAATATTTTTTTTTTTAGTTTTATTCATTATTGCTTTTAATTTAGAAAAACTGGGGGAATTAATGAAGAATTATAACTGTAAACTTTGCCATCATAAAATTATTTCCTTTTTGAACTTCCGTACAATAAATGATTTAACTGTTGTAAGAATGAAAGAAATAAATGAAATTCTTTTAAAAAATGTCCACACTCGGGGGGGAAAATGACATTAACGTTACATTATTAATTTAAATCTTCAAACATGTCTTTATTAAATTAAAAATCTCTTGTTCTGAACAACAACAACAACAGGGTGAATTTCAAAATCACACTGACAATTTACAAACATTTTAAAAGATTAATTTTTTTCCGTTCAAATCTGATAAAAAAAAAAAAATAACATTTTTATGCAAACATGAAGACTCACAAAAATAGTTTCCACTTTTATTGAATTATTGTTGGTCCATGTTTTAAGGATTTTCCAGTCATGTATAATATTTTACTGAACATCTTCAAGGAATTTTTTTTACGTTGAAAAAAAAAAAAAAAAAAATTGCATTCTGCCCAAATTCAAATGTTCGCGATTAAATGGTAGCAGTTGAAACTGACCAAAAATATATTTCTAAAGTTTTCTAAAGTAACGAGCTAGTCAATATAAAATTCATTCATGAATAATTACTGAAAATTTCATGTAAACCAGATGATTCTTTGATTTTCGGCAATTTAAAAAAAAATCGTGGTAGCTTATTTCTTTTGCTTTCATTATGT